TGTTATGCTGGCAGTTCTGGCAGACGCCGCCGCCATCGTAGTGGCCATGGATGTCCAGGGAGAGACCCTTGCGATTCACCTCCTCGTCGTAGATGCACTCGTTGCTGTGGCCATGGCAATTGCAGGCTATCAGAAGAAGAGATGCAATGATTTAATATTCGAATGGGAGGCGTCACACATGCTACTCACGCTCGCAGTTGAATGGACGCGCGTTGGTGTTCTGGCGCCACTTCTTCTGCTCGAATCCCGGACAGCACTGGTTGCACTGAATGCCGCAGGTGTGGTGCTGGCAGCGACAGGCGAGAATGCGCACCGGACTCAGCGGATCCTTGACATCGCAGGTATCGGCATGGCCGTTGCACATGCAGCGTCCTCCGATCGAGATGTCCTTGATCGAATAGAAGTAACGTCGTGTCACGGTCGGATCCTGTCGTGCCACAGACATCAAGTGACCCAGCAGATTCTTGGTACGCAACAGACGTATGCGGACATTGGTGGCACGTGTCCACTCCTGCAGCACGGTCGAGTTGAAGTAGTTGGTGGCCGAGGGACGTCCATTGAGCAGCATTACGGGTATTTCGCCATTCTCTAGCGGCACAATTTTCGAATAGTCCGTGGTGCAAATGACATCGTCGTCGCGCGTTATTGGCTTATAGGTGTCCTTGCCAAAGTACGTCTCACAATCGGCGGGCGTGTCGGAGAAGTGCTGCCACGGCGTCCAGGTCTTGCCATAATCCGTCGACTTCTCCAGAGTCCAGAGGCCCGGACGTGGCGAGTTGCCCATGCGAATGAACAAGTAGGCGACATGGAATTCCTAAAGATGAAGATATGATTTATGAGGAAATTTGATATAAAAGAGTTAGCTATAGATTCTAGAAATTCTTAGTTTCTGAAAGAATCTTATTTTATTAAAGATATATTTCTTCCTAATCCAAAGATCTGATAGGCTATAATCCTTATTTCTCTTTCCAATGGTTACAAAATAAATTGAGACACATATGTAATACCAATTTTACATTAATTCCCAACTAAAGATCTGCTTAGTTCAAACTCATCTTAAAAGTCTTTGAGCAATAGAATCTTTTCCCCACTAGAAGATTACCAAAGGCCAAGCGAATTCATTAAAATTTATTAGCTTCGTGTACACATAAGATCTGTGTAGATATGTCAATATCTCTCTCGCTGTGTGTGTGTGTGTTCCTTATGTATGCGTACAGAGCTTGCATGAGATCATTGAAGAGAATTAACTCTATGCTCTCCAGTATACTAAATTTATCTGCGTCCACAAAATGTTTGTTTACTTTGTATTTTTTTTTTGCCGTTTGCTTTTCAATTTGAAGTCAATTGAAAAGGAACCAAATGAATATATGTATGTATGTATATATGCATATGTTCGGAAGGTATATGTAGAGAGATACATAAATAAAAGATTGTTTACAGTGGCTCTGGTTTGTATGCTTACAATGTTTTGGCAGTACATAAGGCCTAGACGAAATGAGTTTATGTTGTTATATAAAATACTTTTAGGTATAAGTCATTTTCAGTTGTTTAAGTTAAATGCCATTAGAATAACATTTCAGCATTTTTAATCTGAGATATATACCTACATAATTCTTTTCAGCGTATATCTACAAATATTTTCCCCAAATGCATTCAAAGTACTAAAAAGACTGTTGCAGGCGTTTGCATTTTTAGATATTAGATGATCTCATTTCATTGCTCAACAGCTTGAGTTGCATATGTATACATACATATGTACATTTGTAACGTATAGTCTATGGAACTGGGGCTATAAGTAGCTACAGCTATATGATCTGTAGCGTTTCCGTTGCAAGTGCGATAAGTCGAGTGCCGAGTGTGACCCCAAAGTTGTTATATGGAACAATTTCAGACTATACTAAATGATAAGCGTGGGCTGCGACTATATAAAATTCTTTCAAGTGCTATCAGTAGTTAGAGAGTACATATAGAGCATCAAGAACTAAATTGTATACATTCTAAGCACGAAGATGCCTTTTTTTTTAGCTACTTATCGCTACGAAAAAAATAAATATTAAACAAGAGTCAACGTTCTATGTGGCAGTTTCTAAGTGAACATGTAAACTGAGACAAGCCAACATAAAAATATATATATATATATATAAGCATGTATATACATGTGTGTGTGTGCTTGGGGTCCGGTACATAAAAAGCTGATAACCCGCCAACTCCAAAGGGGAAACAACAGCAGCGATTGAACAGCTCAGCAAGATTTTTCGCTGTGGCTTCAAACTGAACAGAAAAAATAAAAAAAAAAAGAAAGAATCAGGGTTCCCTTCTTCTTCTTCGTCGTCGTCGTCGCTGTGGACGTCGAAAATGAAATGAAAACCCATTAAAATTGTTTTCTTTTCAAGCAATCCGCTCACTAATTTTACGAGCCTGTCTGAACGAACGTCTCCCAGTTCGCTGTCTGAGTTAGGAACAGTTCAAGATGATCGAACCAGCACACATATGAGAACGTCACACACACACATGCATGCTGTTGCATTGACTCGTTTTCTGTGGTTCCCTCCTCCCCCGCTGCACTCTTTTATTTTATTTTTTTGGCTACACCTTTCTCTGACGGTTGTGCGTTTGTTCTGATTGCTGTTTACCTGTTCGAAATTGATGGTCAAATTGACTTCGTTGAATTTCATGCCACGGGACAAGGGCGGACTCTGCCACCAGGCCTCGGTGCCATCGATTGCATTCGATGGCGGATGATTCTTCTCCGGCACATTGGGATCACAATAGTCGCAGACCTAAAAAACAGAAAAACACATGTTATTATATAAAACTTCAGTCCATAAATAGATTCAAATTTGAATGTTCAACACATGTGGCATGAAAGATCTTCAACAAGAAATATTTTGTATGTATACTCAAAGTTAGAAAGTAAAAAAAAAAATCTTTAGAAATATTTTGATATTTCTGTATATTCTGTATATCCTACCTGTCCTTGAATAACTGAATAATCAATGTGATCATTCTCTGTATTCGCGCCGACCAGTTTGCAGTAGAGTTCGGGTCCATCTGTATCCTCGCCACATGTGGCGGTTGCTTGAATCTTGCGGCCAGTGGCCAGATTGAAATATGGCGGCGTTAGCTCAGCATTGCACAGTGCGATAAGCAGGGTCAGGCAGAAGGCCACGCCCATGGCACTGATTGGGGTCGCACGCAGCCCCATTCTGCGCTCTCACTCTCTGTCTCTTTCGCTCACACGCACAAGCGGGCGCACAGCAATAAGAAATGTCCTTTATCTGGCCTCACTTCCGGTTCACAGTTATGTATTCGACTTTCTTATCTTCTGGCACTTTTTATTTACTTTTTCACTTTTTCGATTACAATTCACTTTTCTTTTCAGAGCCCATCCAACCGCACTGGATGGCTCGTCGCGAGCAACTGAAGTTCATGCAGTGAGAAGTTTTCCTCGGTACCCCAAACAAATAACGTCTGCATCGGAAACTGACGGAAGCAGCGATAGTGCTCGGCTCACCCGAAGATCGGCTGTCGGCTGTCGCTTGTCGGTTGTCGGTTGTCGGCTGTCGATGATCCCGGTCCATTTATTACTTCATCGCACAGCTGAGAGAGCGGAGATAACGAACTCACTTAACGTCGTTTGTTGTGCTTGCGCTATTCGTTCACATTTCGCTCAGCACTTCCAGTTATTTTCTGCTCTCGCCTTATCTTGTGCTCGCGCTCTCTGCCGGCCGGCGTTTTGCTGCGCGTGGAATGAGTGTGGAATGGGAGTGAGATGGAGAGTAAGACACAGCTTGTTTACGTAGCTGTTGGAAAGCGAAGAGCCGTTAGAGACTATAAATTTGTATTTAATAAAAAAGCTTGTACCATGTCCAGTTGACAGTTGTTAAAAGGACTGGATAATAAAACAGCAATTGTAATTGTCTGTACATTTATAAAAGTTTCGTCTAATTAGAACTTAAATTCAATGTATTAATAAATACGTATTGGTTAACTCATAGTTTCGTTTTGCTGAAATACAAAATACATACATATACCAATAAAAATAACTGTTCTGAAGGTGAATAACGGCTCACATAGCCAATTCTTAGTCAGGCATAGCCAATAAACTGAATCGAAACTCAACCTACAATCACTGAAAACTTGAAGTTTATTGCTAGAGCTATTAAATAGCCAAAAAAGTAACGGCCTGCGCGAAACGCCTGCATTGAGCTGCTGAAAATCACGATCAAAATACAGCTAAAATTCATGACCAATCTAGTGGCAGCGCAGTCGACGGCGACTGTGGCGACAGCTGTTGGCATTTGCAGCGAAACTTAGCGAAACGTATCGAAACTGGTTGCAATTGCATTGCAGTTCTTGCAATGACAAAAAACTCTAAGATAATCGGACTGATAAAGACGGCTATGAGTGTCAAAAGTTTTCGTTTGGCCTCAATTTGGCTCGTTACCAGCTGCGTTCGCCACACTGTGCAGGCGGCCGCCCCATGGATGCAAACGAGTTCTGATGACGTAACACGCTACGTTGACGTTATTGTTGTTGTTGCTGCTGTTGTTATTGTCGATGCTGTTTCTTGCAACTCACGCAAATGAACGTTAAAGTGCATGGGCAAATAGAAAAAAATAACAAACTATAAATTGAATAGATATTTTCTAGAAGCATGCATATGCATGTGTATGTGTGACAGTTCGATTGCAACATCAGCTAGAAGTTCTTAGCTCAAGCACATTGGTGCAAAAGCAGCAGAGAAACATAAATAAGCTTTGCTTATGTAGTTAATAGATTTCAGCTCTCAATTTCTTGCCTATTCATGCCCTTATTCACACATGCTAAACAAATCAATTAACGCCTCAATTTAATTCAATGAATCGTGCAATTTGTTGTTGCTGTTGCATTCGAAACCAGTCCAGCTAAGCCTAGGCCCACTGTGCGCTAACGCTGACGCTGGCGCTGATGCCGGCGCCAGCGCTGGCGTCAACGCTCACCTACGTTTCCATTTATTTATTCGCAGTTGATTTTCGGTTTTCGTGCTCAATTTCGTTCTAAGCCTCGGCGCGTGTGCATCGACGCAGTTCTCAACATGGTGCTGCTGAAAGTGATCAAATATCTTGTGGGTCAGTGTAACAGTGTCAACAAACACATATATCGTATATCGTACATACATATGTACATATCTGTATAGCTTAGCTAAAATCAAATGTTTTTGTTTTTTGTTGCATAGGCTGCGTGGTTCATGTCTGCAACGAGCTGTCCCAGAATATGAATTCACTCAACAAGATGTTCAAATATCACCTGCTCGAGGCGCATTAGCTAAGTTCAATTGAATTTCGAAATATGTATATAAATATCATACATAAATATAAGCACACCACCACATATATTATTAGTTACCGTTCAGCGAAAATATATTCATTTACACAAATGTTAATTATTGTTGTTCATCATTTTTGGCGTGTTAATTAAATCGAAAAGTGAGAACCAAATGCCAAGTGCATATCATGATATAGTATGTATATATGTATATCAAATATATATAAGTATGTTAAACCTTGTTCAGCGGCTTGCACAATCAACGCCTTCAATGGCTTTCGATTTCATTTTGTTATTGTGCAATCGTTGGTAAATAAATGTTTTACATTTTGTATTAATATTTATAAGTTTTAAATTAATTTTTAATTCTTTAAGTGCCCATGAATTTTCCCAGAATAAATTGGAATAGTTGTAGATTTTTGGAAATAAATCAACTAATAATTAAATATATGTAAGATATACAAAAAATCCCCAAACGCAAGTTTTCTATCGAACGCAATGGCCGAAAGCTCACGAATTTGTCAATAAGCAAACAAACCAGCAAAAACTTGATGTATGCCTAGTAAAAATTAACATATATTTGGATATGTGTATACTATATATAGTATGTATATCGTAGACAGTCGTGACGTCACATCAAACTGAGTTTCGAGTCGTGTGGCTAATTTGCATACAATGTCACGTTTGAATGACTTGTAAAAAAACCCAAAACATTAAATGAGTTTATAATTTATGTTTATATTTAGAACTAATTTCATACCTCCATAGAATATAACTTAAGCTGTACAACGGATTTCTATAATTAATATATATATAATTACACTCTTAATTATTCATTGCTAAAGAAGGTCCGACCAAAGCCCATTGCGTTGCTGACAAAGCTGAGCATGGACTTGATCATGCCGTGGGCATGCTTGGAGCTCTTCGTCGTCGTCTCCGAGTCTTGACGCTTGATCTTATTTGTGCCTTTGATGCTTCTGGATATCTGCTTGATCTCGGCACTGCTGAATATGCGCTCCACATCGGGTATGATCACTTTGCGGCCAAAATCCTCGGCGCTTATCTCGTTCTGGCGATCGTCCTCACTGCTGAAGTCAAACCACGATCTGCCCTCAACTGTAGAAGGAGAATTTCACAATGAGTTAAGAAGTTGAAGCCAGTGCAAATTCCTGGACTTACCAGACAACAGCAAGACGGAGCCGATAAGAAAGATTGATGAGAGCTTGGCTGGTGACATTTCCGTTAGCGTTAATCGACTTAATTCAACTGAATACTGCTGCAACTGCCGTGACCTGCTTTATAGATAGTAAGTCTTGCGCCAGCCGGTCGATCTACGTGATCTTCGTGCGGAATGCAAGAGGAACAACCGTATCTGCACGTTCCGAGCGAATAATTTTGAAAAGCTATTTTCCGTTTTATTTTAGCTGTCAGTTTTTAGCTGTTGCTCACTAGAATAACGGCATTCGAATATTTTCTTGCAGCTTCTTTTATTATTGAACTCTTATATGCTACATCCATAACCTAAGATGATTCTTTTTTTTTTTTTTTTTTTTTTTTTTGGGTTTTCTGAAATGCTTGTCGTATGCCCTATAATTTCCATGTACCCTTAAATGCTCAGACATAATTTGACATAAGTCCAATGTCTTTTATTCGAAACTTAAGTGTAACCATATCCTATAATGACTGTAGACCCGTTAGTGTTGGAGCCTCGGCTGAAACCTCTTTGTACCGTATTCATCTTTACAATTCTTAGCTCAATTCATGTGTGTCAATCGCATTCGATATATCCTGTAGGACCTTGGGTCTTCGTGTCTTGTACTTGTACAGCTCATAGGCATTATCCAGCTCAGCATCGGCGTCTCGCTCGTCCTCCACTCCCGGCCATTGATCATAGAGCAGCTCCTGCAGCTCTCTATCTGGCGATCTTGTCGATCCCGTGGGCTGGCAGCCGACCACGCCCACAAATATGCTGAGTGCTGTAAGGGAACATGGATGTGAATGCGGACAAACGAACGAATTGCGGAGAATCAGAAACCAACCGAAGACTACTGTTAGACGCATTATTGAAGAGTGACTGACAAACCGCAGGAGGAACCCCACAACTTATATACATGGTCGTACTCGCGTCAACCCATTGACCGGCTCCCCGCAAATATTGGCAAATCATGCGAAGATTATGCAAAACAGTCCAGCCGATCAAATAATCAAGAAACAGAAGCTCAAAAACGGGGGCTCGAGGCGTCGTTTAGTCTCACGCTGCTTCGCAGATTACTGGGCAAATACGTTTGACGTCATTGGTGATAGAGAGACACACAAAAAAAGGTGATGAAAAAAAGCGTTGTCTGCAATTGTCCATCGATCGGCGCTTTGGCCAGACACCATTAATTATATATATTTCCCATAATACTGAAAGTTATTGTTGTCGTTTTATGTTTAGAACTGGTATCAATCTTTGGCGTGCCCGAAGAATATGGTCCAGCGTTCATATGTCGCCGTCTCTTCACACATATAAGTCTCCATCTGGCAGTAAACGTCACTGAAGTCGGTGTAGTCTGAACGAAACGAGTTTTGACTGTTTAAATTTCGGTAGCCAACAGCAACAATGAATGATTAAGAATCGGATATACCCTAGCGGTGGCTATTATTATGGTCTCACCAACCGTAGCACGCGCATGGAAAGTGAGCTTGACTGATGATTGATGATTGATGAAGTGGTTTAGGCTATGTTTAACTGAAGTGAAGCTTGTCTTGTGACTTGGTTAGGTTTGCTACGTACTCGCGCCCTCGCGACAAGCTGCAATATCCATATGGCATTTCGATGCGTATTTTCGTATGCACATAGTCTGCTCATCCAGACGGCAGATGGCGCTGCTGTCGTTTGCCTTGCCGCAGGACTGCTCCAGGGGACAAGCTGTGCTTACAGCTAGCACAGCTCTGTGGACTTGAAAAAACATATATATTACTTCATGTGATTAATCTTGTTAATCAGGCTTACACAACAGCAGCAATGCAATACTTTTGATAAGCATTCGGAAAATTATGGATAACCGTTCTATATAAAGCGCAATGCGCAACTAATTGCTCCACAGTATATTTCCCACACAGAAGCTATGTTTGTCTAAGGCAAACTAATTTTTAAAGATAAGATAACAAAAAATGAAGTAGCATCTATGGTAATGAGAAGCAAAGTGTAAGGTCAATGTGTTCCATAAAACTTAAAAATCTGTTTCGATCTATTTAAAGATTTGTATATGGTTAATTCCAACGAAGACCAAGTGTATATATATATATAAATATCAATAACATAAATATATAAAATTCTTTCAAAATCTCATCACTCTGCCACCCACAAATCAAGTTTGTCTGGTTTATTTACGGGATTATTTCTATTTCTAGCTTGTTTACAAAAACTGTTGCATACTTTTGTGGTCTATGGTTTGTGTCTCGGCTAAGCTAAACATATGCCTTTGCTATTGTTGCATAGTTGTGCGCATTATTTGGACTTGGCTTGACTGCGATACAATTTGGCATAGATGCCATTCTTGGCCAGCAGCTGGGCGTGTGTGCCCTGCTCGATGATGCGTCCGGTCTGAATCACACAGATGATATTGGCATTCTGCACCGTGGACAGGCGATGGGCAATCACGATGCAGGTGCGACCCGAGCAGGCGTAGTCCAGAGCCTGTTGCACCACCTGGCAAACAAGTTTGCAGATTGAATACAGTGCTTGCATTGCAGGCATACCACACACTCCACTTACCCTCTCACTTTGCATATCCAAGGCCGAGGTCGCTTCGTCCAGCAGCAGAATCTTGGGATTTCGCACCATGGCGCGTGCAATGGCAATGCGCTGCTTTTGGCCACCCGACAGCTGGGTGCCCTTGGCGCCCAACATGGTCTCGTATTGGGCGGGCAGTGTCATAATGAAATCGTGGGCATTTGCCATCTTGGCTGCGTCAATAATCTGCTGCATGGGCACGGTGCGTGAGGTGTCTCCATAGCTGATGTTCTCTGCGATGGTTTTCTCGAAGAGCGATGGCTCCTGCGAGACAATGCCCAGGCGACGACGCAGCGTCTTCAGCTCCATGTCCTGATGTATGCACTCCTGGTCGATGAGCTGAAGCAGGCATAGAGTCTATAATGATCCCTGGAGATTTTGATTCGACTTACAATCTTGCCCTCATCCGGATCATAGTAGCGCAGCAGCAGCTGAACACACGTGGACTTGCCCGAACCGGAGGCGCCTACCAGAGCAACCGTTTGACCCTGCAGCACGTCCAAATTAAAGTCCTTCAGCACCTCGTTATCGGGTCGTGATGGATACGAGAAATTGAGGCCACGATAGCTGACGCCCTGCTCCACAACGTTCGTCTTGCAGATCTTGCCATTGCCCATCTGATCCATAACATTTGGGGATTGTATCAGAGGCGAGCGATCGATGATCTCGTACATGCGTGTGGCGGAGAGCAGCGCCGCATTGAAGGCTGGCGTGAAGGCCAAGGACTGAGCCAAGATGAACAGACCATAGAGCATTGTGTTGGCGATTCTAGCAGTGGCAATATGATATATGATATGGAAGTGTCTTCTATGTAGTTGGACTCACTTCATGATCACTTCGAATTTGATTCTGCCCTCGGCACACATGAACCCGCCGTAGGTCAAGGTGACGGCGTAGCCGAAGAACATTAGCGTCATGCCCATGGCGTTAACCAATCCTCGCCACTTCAGACGGCTCTTTATTTGCAGGCGATATCGCTCCACCTCCACATCGTAGGCCTTGATCAGTTCCTCTTCTCTGCGCAGAGCTGCCACAGTTCGTATTTGTGCAATAGTTTCGGTGGCTATGCGACTCGTTTCCTCTAATACATTCTTCTCCTTCAGCGCCGACTTCTCACTGAACCTGGCCTCAAAGATTATGGAGCCCACCATGAACGGAGCTGTGCTCAGGCAGACGAGCGCCAGCTCCCAAGAATAGCTGAAGGCAATGGAGAAGCTGCAGATGAAGTTGGTGAGCGCCTGTATTATGTTGCTGAGCGGAAACCCGATAGCGCCTTGCACGCTGGCTGCATCGCCCGACAAGCGAGCGGAGAGCGCCCCCACACTGTTCTCCTTCTCATCAAACCAGCCCATTTCCTGCTTCATAATGGCGCTAAATGTCTTGGAGCTGTGCAGTAAAAAAGCCACTTGAGTAGGTGAGTGAGGAAGGAGTAGAAATCAAATATCTTTTGCCTTACCGCATGCGCGAGGTTAGCCACACTCCGGCTAGATTATAGAAAAAGGTTTGCACGAAGCAGAAGATGCCCACACAGACGCCAATCACCACGGTGATGATGGACATGGACGAGCTGTGCGCCAGCACCGCCTCTTCCGTGGGCTCGGCCAGCGAGGCATACAGCTCTGCCAGCACAATGGAGAAGGCTGGCATGGCGCAGCCATAGAGTCCGGCGCATATGGTGCCAATGATCAGGAAAGACCACTCGGGGCGTGCTGTGGCCAGGACTCGCAGGAATGTACGCGGATAGCTGATGCTCTTTGCATTTGCGGACTTCTCCAGCTCTTCGGCGGCTTGTTTCTGACTTTGATGCAAGCCCTTCATTGGAAACTCCAAGTTTTTATCTAGGGATTTCACAGAGTTTCTATGGAATTGCTCCACATCCTTGGACAGCTTGCGTGGCAGCTGCTCAGGCAGCTCCTCATGGAGTAGCTCATCAGCATTGTCGTCATATTCATGGGCTGCTACCATTTTGTAGTAGTGTCCCTCCAGCTTCATGAGATCCTCATGGGTGCCCTGCTCCACCGCCTTGCCGTTCTCGATGTAAAATATTTGATCAGCATGCCTGATCGCGGACAAGCGATGCGAGACAACGAGCGTGGTGCGTCCCTTGGAGGCCTTATCCAAGGCAGCTTGAACCAGTTTCTCGGAGTGATAGTCCAACGCGGAGGTGGCCTCTGCAAGGAGTGCTAACTGTAGTTCCTGGTGCTCGGGAGGTATCCGAATTGCGGACTTACCATCTAGGAGAAGTATCTTGGGATTCTGTATAAGGGCTCTAGCTATGGCAATGCGTTGGCGCTGTCCGCCTGACAGCTGAACACCCTTCTCGCTAATGTGCGTGTCATAGCCCTGGCGAAGAGAGAAGCTTAGATAGTGTATATGACTTCCCTGAGAGATCTCACATTATCCAGCGCAATGATAAACTCGTGCGCATTGGCGGCTTTGGCAGAATCCTCGAGCTCCTTTTGGGTAGCCAGCGGCTTGCCATGGCGAATGTTTTCAGCTGACGAGGAAACTTTTACTATCGATTCATTGCAGTTTATTATCTAAAGATACCCACCAATGGTGCCCTGGAAGAGCACGGGCTCTTGGCCAACCACAGCTATATTGGAGCGCAACCAGTTGAGGTTATATTTCCTCACATCCTCGCCGTCCAAAAACACTTGTCCGAATACTGGGTCATAGAAACGTTGGAGCAGTTGCACACAGGTGGACTTGCCACAGCCCGAGGAGCCAACCAATGCCACAGTTTGACCTTCCCTGACGGTGACGTTGAGTCCTCTCAGCACAATAATATCCTTTCGTGCGGGATACTGAAAGAACACGTCCCGAAACTCAATGTTGCCTTTCAGGCCGTAGTTGAGTATCTTGCCAGCCTTGGAGAGCGGATCGATAAGGGACACGCGATCAATAACATCATAGATGGCGCGCGCTGATCCCCGGGCCATGGCAAAGGTCTCCAAGAAGGGGGAAGTCCGTGAGAGTTGATTGGCGCCCACAATGATGCCCGAAATCACAATCATGACGATCGCTGGGGTATACTTGCGCTCCTCGATAGGCATATCGCTGGCCCGATCGTGCAGAATCAAATTGGCGCCGTACCAAAAGGCGCCCGCGCCCACAATGAACATCATGGCCTTCATGACCGTATCGCTGAGGCCGGAGAAGGCGCCCTTCCACTTGCCCGCCTTGAGGGCGGGCTTGAGCAGGGTGTCGTAGCGTGTCGACTCGGAGTGCTCGCCTCCAAATGCCACCACAGTGCGTATGGCTCCGATTACCTCCTCCACAACCGAGCTGGCGCGCACATAGGAGCTCTGCTCCCGCGCCGTGAGCTTGCTTTGGTACTGTGGGGTTGATTGTTAGAGACTATATTTGCTGGACAACATAGCACCACTCACGTGAGCAACCACTGAGTTCACCACCATGGTCAGGGGTATGTAGAAGAACATGGCCAAGGCCAGTTTCCAGCCATAGACAAAGGATATGATGACGCTAATGGCCACATCGCAAATGATGGTTACAAAGTGTCCCAGATTCTCAGCTATGCCCGTGCGTATTTTTTCCATGTTACTGAAAGTGATTCAGTCAGTAAATCAGAGTACTTCAATTGGGATGCGACACCTCTACCTACTCCGTTATGCGCACGGCAAAGTTCTGATCCTTGGCCATGTCGTGCCAGCCGATCTCCTGCCTGACCGTCGCCTTGAAGAACTCCCGCCTCATGCTTACCGTCAGCTTGAGAGCCAGATGATTGAATATGTTCACAAAGGTCATGCCGGAAAAGAGCATCAAGAGCGAGTCAAGGGTCATCAGAATGCCGAATGCGACGCTATCTTTGCGCAGCTCCTGCATATTCTCCTCATAGCTGGCATTGGTGCTATAAGAAACGGGCCTTAAGAGCGGGCATGAGCTTAGATGCGGGGCTAGACTCACAGCTGCTTGCCGCCACCAAACAAAGGCAGCGCCTTGGTGCCCGAGCTGGTTCCCACGCCCAGGCTGCGGTCAATGAACATGGCCACCAGCTCGCTGTAGACAATGATGGCAATGGGAAACACCAGAGCATGCAGGAGCGCTGCGATCAGGGCACAGACGAGCAGCAGATAGTCGATGCCACGAGCATAGCGAAAGAGCTGGTAATAGTTGACAGTTTCCATTTGGGGCTGTTTCGATTTAATTTGCTTCGCTTCTGCCTGGCCAGCGTCGTCCGCATCGCCATTCTGCATGTTGGGCTCTGCCATTGACGTAGTTAAAGACAGCTAATTTTTCGCCTATAATCATTTACCCTCGGGGTCAATTAATAGTTAGCGTGCAACGAATCTCTGTCTGCAGGTGGACACTGAGGGGAGGTGACCCCGCAGCTGGCTAGATCTGTTTACTGTACGATCTCTGGTGCTAGATGTTCTCTTGACATAACGCAGAATATCTGTGCTTATTTTTGTTTGTTTCTTGACTCGATTGCTTTCGGGTTCTCTATGCGCTGTACCGATTCGTTTGAAAGGCGAACTCGAACTGTCGATTTGGCTAGTGAGAGATTCGTCTTTTATCAATTTCGTTTCTGCTAATGTTCAAATGACTGAAAGAGCGCAAATAGTTTTGAGTGAAAATGCATTTCTGCGCTCGCAGCTTTTGCAATTTCTCTTATTTTATTTTTAATAAAATTCAATTGGATTGATTTTTCTCAAGGTTCAGAATGTGTAGGAAATGTGCAGAGGTCGGTCGTTAAGTTGTGCATAGTTTTCTAATGATATTTCATAAAATATGTTAACATTCAGCAGAGCAGAGGTCAGCAGAGCATTCCTTAGGCTACTAAAGAGTTATCTGGGTGTAAATTCGATAAATGCTCTGTAAGCTGTTTTAGCTTGCTGTCTTATCAATGCTAGCTATTCTAATATTTGCATTTAAACCTAATTATCGCGACATTGACATCTAATTGTCTTTTGTGTAATAGCTGGCATAAAGATTAACATTATCACGATCTTAAATGGTAAGCGAAGTGCATAGAATTTGCTAACTGATAAAAAAATGTTATAATATCGCAAAAGTGGCATGAGCCAAGCATTTTTAGTTTTCCAAATGCGGATGTACGACGCAGGGCTTCGGTTTCAGCTTCAGTTACAGTATTATTTATCATTTAATAAGCCTCAGCCTGAAGCCATCTAGATCTAAAGGTTCGTATTGTACTGGGTATTAAAGTTACGTGTCGTATACTTGATATGATGAGTCTCTTAACGATCGATTCACACACTAGCTATTGAACATTTTATTTTTATTTTTCCTTATTTAGTTGTTTAAAGTAAGGCCATGGGGCTAATAATGCTCAGTATTTAATGAAAAATTCGATAATGTTATGTCTCAATTTTAATTTTACTTATTATATTTAAGCAAGTGCTCAATAACGTAATGCCCGGTAATGTTAACTTAACATACACTGTTAACGTTTCCCTAGCGCGCTCGCATGCGCTGCTTTGATCCTGCTTTGCTGTTTGTGGTGAGTTGGCGGCTTTCCTTGAACATTCGTGGTGAGTAGCAGCTCTCTTATAGGTAGTTTTCTCTATTGGTGGTGAATTGCGGCTTCACTGGAATGCATGCGCTTCTGCTGTTGGTGAGTACCAGATTCGTTCAGCATTATTTTCTCTGTGGGGAGTAGCAGCTCTCTCTTCATTACGCGGCTCAGTGGCTTGAGTTTTTTATTGTTCCACTTTCCAGTGTAACTTTTATATGTAGTAACGAATGCTAAATTCTAGCTGGCAGCAATGCGTGAAATTGTGTTATATCACAGCTGCTATGCGCTGCCACAGGTGATTTGGAAAAATACTGAGCATTATAAGAAAGTTTATTGAAAAATAGTTTGCAGACGTACAAATAGTAATGGAAAAATCTCAAATAAATGGATCCTTTCAAATCTCAATGATCCTTTTGGGTCCTGTGCAGCTTGGCATAGATGCCGCGTTGGGCAATCAGCTGCAAATGTGTGCCTTGCTCCACAATTCTGCCGCCCTGCACAACACAAATGACGTCAGCATTTTGAATCGTCGAGAGGCGATGGGCAATCACAATGCAGGTGCGTCCAGAGCAGGCCAAGTCCAAAGCTTGCTGAACCAACTGTCGGTCAAGTGGAGAGAGTAAGTTAGGGATTTCTCTTATTAAGGTCAACTGTCTGCTTACCCGTTCGCCTTGCAAGTCCAGAGCTGAGGTGGCCTCGTCCAGCAACAGGATCTGTGGGTTCCTAACCAGAGCACGAGCGATGGCCACGCGTTGCTTCTGGCCACCGGACAGCTGTGTGCCTCGTGCTCCCATGCGCGTCTCGTAGCCATTGGGCAACGAGGTGATGAAGCTGTGGGCATTGGCGCTCTTGGCAGCTGCAATTATCTCCGCCATGGGCACAGTGCGACGATTGTCTCCGAAGGCAATGTTCTCGGCAATGGTGCGCTCAAAGAGCGACGGCTCCTGTGAGACAATGCCCAGCTTACGGCGTACGCCATCCAGTGTTAGATCGTGCTGAATGTCATCTTGATCAATGTGCTGTGGGCATGGGAAACATTTAAGGAATATCTATTGATGTTGCCTGGTGAATGGCTTACAATGCTGCCCTCATCTGGGTCGTAGTAACGTTGCAACAGTTGCACGCATGTGGACTTGCCGCACCCGGAATGCCCAACCAGAGCTACCGTTTGACCCTGCAGCACCTCCAAGTCCAGCCCATTCAGAATCTTTTCATCCGGTCGCGTGGGATAACGGAATTCGATGCCGCGATAGCGCACGCCCTCAAAGAGATTCAGTTGCTTGGCCAGCGTATTCTTGATAGTGCCCATGGGTGAGACAATACGCGGCTTGCGATCCAGAATCTGGAACAGACGATGGCCAGCGACCAAGGCGGCGGTAAAGGCAGGGGTAAAGGCCAGCGATTGGGCCAACATCATGGAGCCATACAGCAGTGTCTCAGATACCCTGTGAGTCGGGCACAGATATAGATAAATAATCAGCTTTTATAATATGGAGTGAACGGTTAACCCACTTGATAATATCCTGGAACGGCACCTGACCTTCGGATACCAGAACGCCGCCGTAGCAGAGCGCCACGGCGTAGGCAAAGAACGCGGAAGCCTGCATGGTGGAGTTGAGGACTCCACGCCAGCGCAGCTTCTGTCGAATGAGAATCTCCACACGCTGAATCTCTTCCGTGTATTGCTTAATAACCTCAGCTTCGCGTCGCAGGCCAGCGATGGTTCGCACATTCGTAATGGACTCAGTGGCAATGCGAGAGGCCTCCTCTAAGACTTGTTTCTCTCTAATCAAGGCGTTCGACATCATTCTGGAAATTTTAAATTGAAGTTCACATATGTGGAGTATACGAAACATAGAGCACCTATTGATTCACTCACTTCGCCTCTAGTATGACCGAGCCAACTATAATGGGGCAGTTGGCCAAACACAGCAACGCCAGCTTCCAATTATAGTACATGGAAACCGATACGCCCGAAATGAAGTTCGCTAGAGCTTGAATCATGCCGCTCAGCGGATAGCCAATGGCACCCTGCACTCCGGCTGCCTCGCCAGATAAGCGCGCTGAGAGCGCACCAACCGAGTTCTGCTCCTCATCGAACCAGCCGATCTCCTGGCTGAGCATCGCCTTAAAGGTCATCGCGCGTACACGTGTGGTCAGCCAGACGCCGGCGTAGTTGAAGAGATAGGTCTGCAGAAAGCAGATCAGTCCGGTGATCACAGCGATGCCCAAGCACGCCCAGGAGAGCGCAGCAGTGCGACTGAGCGCCACCTTTTCGTCCTGCTCAGCGAGTGCAGCATAGAACTCGCCAAAGATGATGGAGAAGGCCGGATAGAGACAGCCCACAGCAATGGCCGAAATGCCGCCGAATATCAGGTAACACCACTCGGGGCGTGCTAGCCCTATGATTCTTGCAAAGATCTTGAAGAATTGTGGCTTCTGCGCTGGCACAATCTCCTTTTCCTTATTGCTGTCCTTGATGAACTTCACAATCGGCTCATCGAACTGCACGCTGTTCTTCTGATTCTTCTCAAAATTGAGCGGACTTGTCTCAAAGGACTTTTCGTACAGCGCTAGACTCTTGCCTGCAAATCAAGTTGGCCTGAGACAATTGTTGATTTACGATTACTTTCTGAGCTTACGCTTTGCCTCGTCTACATTCTCTTCGTTTTCTTGATCCTCCGGCATCTTGAAGTCACCTGCTTTGACCATGTTGTAGTAGGCGCCCTCCAAAGCCATCAGATCATCATGTGAGCCCTCCTCCAGCACCTTGCCCTCGTTGATAAAAACGATTTTATCTGCACCACGAATGGCGGACAGTCTGTGGGATACCACAATTGTGGTGCGTCCTTTGCTGGCCAGGTCCAGCGCCTGTTGCACCAGTTTCTCGGAGTTATAGTCCAAGGCCGAGGTGGCCTCTGAGAATTAGAGAGGATGTATACGTATATGTATATGGCTTTTGTAGTTAGTTTTCTTTACCATCCAGCAATAAGATCTTGGGATTCTGTATCAGGGCACGAGCAATGGCGATGCGTTGCTTTTGACCGCCAGACAGTTGAGAACCACGCTCGCCAATCATAGTGCGATAGCTCTACAGGAAAAAGGATTAGAGATCGAAGGGTCAAGGGATCACACTCTCTTCTCGCCACTCACCTCTGGCAGCTGACTAATGAAGTCATGAGCACCGGCTTGCTTGGCAGCTGCTTCGATTTCCTTCTGCGTGGCATTCGGTTTGCCATAGCTAATATTTTGACCTAACAAGAGATCAGATATGCGTAAAATACTACTACATATATCTGGGAGCGGCACAAGTTACCTATGGTGCCCATGAACAGCACCGGCTCCTGCCCGACCACAGCAATATTGGAGCGCAGCCACTGAATATTATATTTGCGTATGTCCAGCTCATCCAGCAGCACAGCGCCAAAGACGGGATCGTAGAAGCGTTGCAATAGCTGTATGCAAGTGGATTTTCCACAGCCCGAGGAACCCACTAGAGCCACCGTTTGACCCGCTCTGATCTTGATATTCAAGCCGCGATGCACAATAATCTCTGGACGCGCAGGATAGCGAAAGAAGACATCCTGGAACTCAATATCGCCGCGCAGGCCATAGTTCAAAAGCTTGCCATCCGTGGACAGGGGATCGATTTTGGAGGGCAGGTCAATGACCTTGAACAAACTAGTGGCACAGCCACGCGCGGTGGCAAATGACTCGAGGAACGGCGCCGTACGGGCTATATTATCCGCGCCCACAATGATGCCAAAGAAGGCCTGTCAAGGTATAAGAGTTTAGTGGAGATATTCCG